TTGGTAGACACATCATGAACGTGATTGACTGGTTGTAGAAAGATCCGGATAACATGATAAAAATGCGACGGTTTGCACAACCCTGCGTGAACAGAGGGAAACCGACGTGTATCACATGCTTATATCGTTCTTGCTAAAATGAAGTAGTGCTAAGCATACTCTGAAATATTTTACTCACCAAAGACTAAGGCAATAAATAACACTACTCAGGTACAAAGAGTAATCCGTCAGTCTGTTCTCTCGACACCGTCTTCACATCGCCGAAACCTGAGGGAGCCACAGAATATCGCAAAAAGGATTCGAACAGCTGAAAAACCAACTCACAATGTGCAACATCGATCTTTATAGTGTTTTCTTATATCCAGTGTCGGTGCATCTACTATTACAACAAAAGGCACACATCACAAATATTCATATGTTAATGGCTGATCACTGTAAAGCAGCTGAACCAGGCAGATTCCACAGTGTCCGAGCATCTCTACACAGACTGGTTGGTACATGTATTCACATTTAGATCAACACACAACATTCCCGTATAATATAGTTCAGTTTTCTCCAGAATTATTTTCGTCAAGTCACAAGAAAGCAGATTTATCTCTACATGGTACGAACACGCCTTTGAATGCGAGGCTGTGTGTGCAGTGTATTTGAACTCTGTGGGAGATCCAGCCACACTCGTACATGCGGTACGAGTGTGGAGCTGACTTTGCCTTTAAACGACACATCTGTGTGGTTTCAGGACGCTTTGTGTAACACGTGTTTTGGAGGACAGAAAACAAAGGCACAGGGTGTATTTGGGTGTGTGCTGTACTGTTTGGGTGCTCGAGTCATGTTGATGTGAGGGGCAGACACTCCTCTCACCGAGGCGACGTTTCCATATATTTAAGGGGAAAATCCATCACACCTGCATGAAATGCACTCATGATTACAAGAGAAATGATCATGCATCAGTGGAAAGGGTTTACACGAGACAGCCAATGTCCAGATGTGCCCATTATAATATTATTATTATTATATTTCTTTGATAGTTAACGACAAGCACTGAGTTCAATTATTTCATTTAAATTAAAATCTTCTGATCGATGAGATCGTTACACTTTATGGCTCAGGAGGTCGAGCAGATTGTCTACTGGTCGGGTCAGTGCTTCAGGTTTATCTACGCGCCGAACGCTACGTTCACTCTGCAGGTCTT